CGATGGTTTTTAAAAACTCGTCGCCTAATGTGCCACATTGACGATTATTTTTAAAAAACTGTTATATTTATGTAAATCTCCGTTTTACGTTTTTTAAACATATTAGACGATAATTTTCTACAAAATGTCGTTAATTAGGCGTCGTCTAGTCTACTCTTTGTTAGAAGTGATTTAAGTAGAGACAAGGTAGGCTTAGTTGTTTATGAAACTATAAATAGAGGGCTGACCTAATGGAAATTCCAAGTCCATTCTATTCGCATTAGCTCTTAAAGTTCTCTTGTAACTATTCTTTTCCATAGTGAAATCTTTTCTCCACTCGAGAAAACTTAAAGTGGACTTAGACTCCGATTAAGTTGAATCGCTATAATTATATGTATTCTCTATTCTTCTTTTATTTTCTTTTTCATTATTCACTAACAAAGCGTGTGAGTTAATCAATGGTGAGGTGATCGTATATATTTTGAGACAAATTTTGACCTTCAACAACAATAATATTATGCCATCGGCAGAGCCCCTCATTAGGCCTTGGTGATGATACTAATTATATGCTTCTATCACTAATAGAGGGCCTTAACAATTTCTTAATTGTTGCGACGAGGAGGGTGTGGATGGATAGTCACTCAATCGATGTTGTCTATGGTGTCGCACTTGAGGATGAAAATATACGCGTCTCTATTCAAGTACCTTATGTGAGGACGCGCCTCTGCCTATCCTAGATAGCATGACTGTGGGTAACACGATCGAAGGATTTGTTGCATGGCCTAGGTCTTTGGTTGAACTCAGGTCGTTTAGTAAAGTTAGTAGAGCTCCGCCCAGAAAAGTGTTGGTTGCCGAATCGAATTCGGCTGCGGAAGCGTGGGGAGAAGCGGATCGTGTATAATAAAAATTTCAGAAAAACTTTTGAGATACTCTATAGATTATATTAATTTATGCACGAATAAATTAATCTCATCAATTTATATATCAACAACTCAATCCGGAAAAATACCTGGAAGCCGACTCGGATGATAACTTGAGTTCTTTGACCACGAACAGTCCTTGCTCCAAGTTTTGTGTTTAGAATACCAAAGTCTTCCACGTCAATTCCTTAATTCCACGTAGACGTGTGTGTGGGCACACGTGAGATAAAACAGATTTCTTAAACACTCGAATTTCCACAAACACCAACGCATGCACGATGTGGAATTTTTTGGAGAAAATATTTTGCTCTCTTTTTTCCTATGAGTAAATTCGGCCACCACTAATTTTAGGGCTGAAAAATGTTTCAAAAATTGTGTCCACAATTTTCTATCATTCTCATATTTAAAGAGTAGAAGTCAAACTTCAAAATAGAATCAAATCCCTATCTCCAATTTGAATTTTGAACAAAAAATCCCTTCCCCTTATCCATAACGTGGCCGGCCACACTGTTAGGGTTTCACCCTGTGTGTGGTGCCAAACACAGATAGGGAAGGCAAAGAAATCATTCTTTATCCTGTAGTCCAATTTTAATTCAAATTCAAATTCGAATTTAAGTCAAACAAATTAATTTGAATTCTAAATTGAACAACTTATCAAATAAGTTCAAAATGATAAATTTAAATTATGTTCACAATTCAAATTCAAATTTAAATAATCACATTATTTAAATAATAATTAATTCTCAATTAATTATTTTTCGAGTATTTAATTTTAGAATTTCGTAATTCTAAAATTCCCATTTTGCCCTTTGTGTCTGGTAGAATTATAAGGACGACGCGGGGACTAATGGACCTATAATCCCGAGCTCCAATACAATTAATAATTAATTAAACACTTTAATTAATTAATTAATTTTATTAATTCCAATAGTTACTCCACTATAAACTTGGAATTGAACTCTCGAAATTATAGATATTAATTACTTCTAAACTGCGAAGTGTCCATTTGATATAGTCATTACATATAGATCAATCCTCCATAAATAATTCATAATTAGAGTCAGGTAGAATCCGTTAACCTCTCTAATTATATTTGCATGCTTGAGTACCATTGATTCTCTAATGGATAGTGATTCATAAAACACATTCATGAACCACAGCGCTCTAACTAATTCAAGTACCGAATCGACACTCAAGAGAATTATTTATCTACTTCTTTCTCAAAAAGGAATGGATTCCATCTCGTATAATAACATTCCCAGCTACCTATTTCATTATGTCTCCAAAATACAAGGAATAGGATTCAGGGTCTCAGAATCCGTATCGAGTAAATCAAAAGACATAAATCCATAAATAGGAGTTTGTTAAGAACTCAGGATTAAGATCATCCTATATATGACCATAGGTAGACTCAATTAGAATTTCTATGCTTAACGAAAATTATTAGAAATTCATATTGTGTCTCTGTCCTTGTTCCACATAATCTTATTATACGAAATACACTCATTCAATATCTCGCCATATTAACAGTGCGGATAACACCGTTCCATTCTAAATGGGAATGACATGTATTAATAATGTTTTAATTAAAGATTCTGAACTTTAATTAAATTCACCATGAACAATGTTTTTTATTATTATCCTTAAACACTATCCTCTCATATATAACACTTATATACTATGTTTAAGGTTACATAAACAATCACGGAATTTTCATTTGATATTCATAAAATATTCATAAATATATGCACAAAAAATGATGAATAAACTCTTTTATTAATTAAATAATAAATATCTTATTACATCTCATGCTTCTAGGACAGTATTCCCAACAAAAAGAACCTGTGGATTCGAGCCGGCGAGGAAAAAACCTGGGAAACAAAAGAAGTTGAAAAAGACACAAGCAACCATTGGGCTTGGGCAAGTAACACAATTGCTTCTGAATAGTTGCAAGGGTTACCCACTAAAATGCAAGACTTAATGATTCATGCGCACCGAAATATGGGCACTGGTGGAACAATTCAGATTCTCCTGCCATTTGATATGACTCATATGTAGAATACACAAATCTTCATTACCACCGAGGATATCGAATGGATGGCCACCTATCAAGAACTTAGTATTGGGTGTATTATGGATTACATGTGGTAATGTAACTATCCTAATTACTTTTTCGCAATCAATTATTATTTATTATTAATGTATAACTAACTTTGTCATTTATCATGTAGTTACTTGTGGCATTTGTGCAATTAGATGGATGTCCTAGGACATTAGGGTTTCATGTCCTCGATGCTCACGTCCTACGTTTTAGGCCAAGCAAAGATTGCAATATAGGAACGAGCAAGCGCTATTTGTACATTTTTGTCAACATCAGAACCCCAACGTAATTTTTTCGTGCCATATAACGGAGGCGGACATTAGATATTATCCTTGATTTCTCCCCAACAAGATAAGGTTGTGTGATTGGATTAGCTAAGGGCTAAAGTACACCAGGACTTCAGAAAAATGATTGCTCTGTAAGTTTAGCATTCTTTACGACATTAGGAACAACTAATTTAAATTATTTCTTTCTTTTAATTAATATAGTTTCATCATTTATTAGTGCATTACATGGTTGGAAGGCCAACACAAGTTGTGAGTTTGAACGACATAAGGGTGGGTTAACAAAAAATTTCTCTGTCTAAAGGTAAGTATTCATAATTTTGTTACCTAAATTACTCAAACTTAAGGAATACCTAAATGAAATATTAAAATATTTTATTAATTTTTAAAAATTTCTGACACAAGAGGGGATCAAAGAATAATGATTCTTCATCTTACGGTATATGCATGATATAATAGAAGTCGGTGTTAAAGAACTAGAAAACATAGAAAGATATACTAATGCCCATTCGGTAAAAGTCATACATGAATGGACACATTTTGTAAAAGAATATACATAATTTATTGTATATATTTTGAATTAAAAATTTAATATTTGTTTATGTTTGTTATTACTTGAGTTAATTGTGGCCGAAATACTGATAACACACGGGATTAATAGACCAACTCATGGGAAAAACTATAAAACAACACCATTTTTTTTTGCATATTTAACGACAGTTTTCAAGAAAATCGTAGTTATATGTAAATCTTTGACGACAATTTCCACCAAAATTGTCGTCTAACGTAGTCCATAAACGCATATATTAACATTCCCGGACCATTTTAGACGAAGGTTTTTCTAAAAACCGTCCTAAAAAATTTATATATAATGACAGTTAAAAACTGTCATTAAATTACAGACACATGTAACGACCAATGATTATACGACGATTTATAAAACTGTCGTCTAATCTTTTAACAACGGTTTTTAACAGTTGTTAAATCTGCAATTTGTACTAGTGAATGTAGGGAATAATTGTTTCTTTCCTTTTAATTTTGCATCCTTTATAATTTTTCTTTCATTCTTGCCAAATGGAGTGTAAAAATCATCCTAAAAGATCTCGTACTCGGTCAGATCAGATCAGATCCAAGCCTCATCTAGAAACACTTAATTAATTCCTTTAAAGCAAAACCTGAATAAAATAAGTTGGCGGATTTGGTGAATCAACAACCAAAATCATACACCGTGAATAAAATAAGTAGATGGAAGCGACAGCGTGAAATTTTTACAATCTTTAATCCAATCATATAGCAAGCGACAATTTGAAGGGACAAGTTATCATGCATCAACGCGGAAGGGAAAAAACAAAACAATACTTTAACAATACTATAATTTTTTATTAGCAAAAACAATACTATAATTTTTTTTTTTTTTTGAAGTAACACTTTACTATTTTCAAATGAAAATTGTAAACAAAATAGAAATTGATTAGGGAATGACTCATTCAGCTCTGCTGCTGTCAGCCCTTTAGTCATCTCCCACTAAAATCAGCGTAAGACAGCGGATGGGAATGGACGTTAGCTTTGCGCCTCTGGTAAGTCTACATAAAAAAGGATATTTTATATGAAATGCGTGACACTTTTATTTTTTATTTTTTTGCTAAACGCGTGACACATAATCGTCAATAAATATAGAAAAAAAGGATCAACGAGTGGTGAAAGCGAAGAAAGAAAAACTGGGAGAGAATAGAAGAAGGGATAGCATCTCCAATGAACGGTGGAAACGGCGAGTATAGCTATAGCCAAAACTCAGTCTTTCAGGTAACTCTCCCCATCTAGTACTACCACTTTCAGTTATTCTCACGTGAAAGTACCAGCACTTTCGAATTTGTATTGTAAGAGCAAAACTTCAGAGGGAGCAGAGTAACGGTAAAAGGATTTTAATATTTATAGTTGTTTGGTAGCTAGGAAGAAAAAAAAAAAGTACATTTATTAAGTCACGTTTGGTTCATGAATTTAGAATCATGATTCAGAATCATTCTCAATTTACGTGTATTTTTTGTGAAAAAAAATACTGTAACTAATCACGAACTATGATTTGAATTAAAGCACGAATCCACCAACCAAACGCGCTCTTAAGCCTCGTTTAGTTGTTTGGTTATTTTCTTTTCTCTATATATATATATATTTTTTTTTTTCTCACGAGTAAGATGGGGTTGAACGGGGTTCTCTCACGAAATATCAGGTTGAGTTTGATTTTTCTTTTCCTATAACATAGATCATTTATTTTTATGTCTTTCTATTTTCAGTTGGCTAAAAATAATTTGCTCGTACAGAAAAATAAGCCGAGTAAAATAGAGGCTCACCTCAATTTGAAACTACATCCTCTTATAACTGCTGTATTTTTACTATAGAGAAGAAGTAACAAGAGAAAATAGCATAACTCTCTAACTCTTTGTTTTTTTCTCTACTTCTCTATTTAACCCCAAGAAAGCGTCCCCTTTTTATAATGAAAACTAGGGCAACAAAATGTTAGAAGTGTGAAATGCCCATTTCAAAAAATCGATTTGCATAATCCTCTGCGTAAGACAACAACTGATCAGGGCAATTAATTAGGCTTCACAACATAACAACACAAATAACGTTGAGTTCTTAACTGCCTAATTTCTTAAGAGGGTCGCAATGCTCATGTGGTCAAACACTAGTCAGTTATAGAAATAGATGTTTCCATGCTTCAGTCAAACACTAATCATCAACAAAATTACCTAGTGGCGCTGCACGTTTCAATATTGTTTGAGTCGCATATGTGAATTGTTTTTAGGATATTTAATTTGGTACTCAAATCTTAACAGGTTCTCTCATGCTTGCAATTTTTTTTTTTTTTTTTTTTTTTTTTTAAATTTATTTAACGTGATTTTGATCCGATTTAACTTTAGAAATACGCATTAGCGATAGCATTTAGGAAGATTCAAGAAAAAGAACCGATTTTTTTGTTTTTGTTTTGTAGAGAAAAGCTATAGTTGCTGTCAAAGAACTGATCAATAATGCAATTGCCGAGAAACTTGAAGTGAAGATTTCCTCTTCTTCAAACACCTTTAGAGTTGCTGATTTAGGCTGTGCCACCGGGCCTAACACATTCCTAGCAGTGGAAAACATAATTAATGCTGTTGATAACAAATGTAAAAACCAGGAAACTAGTAAAACTACTTCTCCAGAGTACCAAGTCTTCTTCAACGACGTGGTTGTAAATGATTTCAACCAGCTCTTCACGTCCCTTACTGGGGACAAGAAATATTTTGTGGCGGGTGTGCCGGGTTCTTTCCATAGTCGATTATTTCCCAGCGCCTCCCTGCATTTTGTTCACTCTTCATACGCCCTCCATTGCCTTTCCAAAGCACCGAACATCGAAGGGAGGATCTACTACTCGAATTCTAGGGACGAAGTTGTGAAGTCTTATGAAGCGCAATTCGCAGATGACATGGACAACTTTCTTAGAGCTAGAGCAGAAGAAATCGTGGATGGCGGACTTATGGCTCTTGTTTTTCCTGGTCGTCCCAATGGAACTCCTCATTCTCAAGTTTATTCCAACAAAATACTTCAACTTGTAGAGTCTTGCATCATTGACATGGCCAAGAAGGTAATTAGGATTATTATATAGACCATTCTTTAAGCAAAGTAAATTTTAATTTTTTGAAGGATAATTCTTTTGTTATTTAATTTTCTTTTGAGAAGTGTATAATTAAAAGCTAATGCTCATATAATCTAGGATCTAACAGTTAGGAGTATTATAGCCCATTATATATATGTTAGAACTCAAATTATTTATTCTATTTATATATAAGTCATATGTACGTTCCTCTTGGAAACAATGTAGTGGGTAAATACCTATATTTACGGGCCGATATATTAGCCTCACATGATGGAAACATGTGTGGCCATAGTGCTACTACCCGAGGTACAAAAAAGGAAAAAAAAACAAAAACAAAAAAAAAGAGAAATAGGTCTCGTTTGTTTCATTAATTCGAATCACAACATATATTTTATTATAATTTTTTCTCTCATAAAAATTTAAATTCATCTTTTTATTCTGCAGTATTTTCTCTTACATAAATTTACTTTTCAACTCTCAAATCAGCAAAACGGATGAAGCTATAGAAAGTACTTCTAGCTACAAAATTAATTCAAGAGTCACAAAACTGCTTTTTAGCTAATAAAAAGTTTTTGTTTGTCATTGTAATTCCACAAGCATTCCACCATGCGCCATATACGAAAAAAAAAAAAAAAAAAAAAAAAAAGCACAAAAAATGCACAATATATTTGTCAAGGCTGATACTTACAGCTCCATTTTTGCTCGTTTTTCTTCTTCCTTGAGACAGGGTTTGATTAGTAATACAAAAGTACTTTCTGATAATAAGATGTCTGCATCATATATGGCATCTCTCGAAGATGTGGAGTCGGCTGTCAAAAGAAATGATTGTTTCACCATAGAAATAATGGAGAACTTACCTCAAGAAAAGGCGCCGCCCAAAGTTATGGCATCCACTATTAGAGCTGGCATGGGGAGATTCATAAAAGAGCTTTTTGGAGAAGAGATTGTTGATCAGCTATTTGATTTATACCTCAAAAATCTTGAAGAAGCGTCATCCATCCTTGAATCATTGAAAGCAGTTAACCTATTTGTCTTGCTCAAACGCAAAGAAATTGGCAAGAAAAATGGTTCTGCAGGGTTAGCTGAAACTAGCTAGACTCCTAAGACATAATGAAGTTAATAAATAAGAAAGACTGCGGTGTGGTTTTTTCTTTCTTACTTTTTTCTCTTTTCTTTTTCCGTTGAAAAGAGTGCGCTATGGATTTGAATAATACAACTGTAATATTCAATATATATGAATGAGTTTATACTAGTTACGTCATAAATGGTTATCGATGTATATATCGTTCATATATGTATAAGTTGGGGTCAGATTTTATCACTCAATCTTCACCTTACACGTGTCAACTCGAATCGGCTAAGTCAAAGGTTCAACAGCCAAGAAGACCATCCAAGCATACAGAGCAGGTAATAACATTTAGATGACGACCTAGATTCAAGATCAGCTGGAATCGACATTAACATCCAGAGTCGACTACGACTGCTTAGTAAGGCAGAGGAGTTGACTGCTCCAAAGAATATGATGAGAATTTTCTGAAGAATTTTTCATTCTGGGATTTTGAGAAAGCTCCAGATCGTACCTAAGCTAGCCTAAATCACAGAAGATATGAAGGGAATAAGAAAATAAGATCAAAAATTCAATCGGGAAAGTCAACTCTATTCGAGAAAGGAAAACTAGCCTTAATTGGGAAACAAGTAACTAGAGTTTGCAACTATAAAAGGAAGTCTTCCCTCAACGTCCAAGGTAATTCCAAGACACACAAACTCGTGCGCTACCTCTGCAATTCACCCTAGAACCTCTCTCTCTCTCTCCTCCAAGACACACAAACTCGTGCACTACCTCTGCAATTCACCCTAGAACCTCTCTCTCTCTCTCCTCCAAGACACACAAACTCGTGCACTACCTCTGCAATTCACCCTAGAACCTCTCTCTCTCCCCTCCATTATTGTCTGTCTCAAGCTTTATCAAGCTTCTTTGTACTATTCCCTACATGCATAGTGCAAACAACAAACACTACAGTGGACGTAGCCTGAATTATTGGGGGAACCACTATAAACTTCAATCTCTTTATTTTTCGCACTTTACTTTATCGCTCATACACTAGATCATTCTAAGCAAATGGATCAAACATCTACCACTCTACGATTTGGTCATTAACCCCTAATACAAATTCGACTGTTGGAAATCGACCACAACAGTTTGGACTTAGTCAAATCTTACGTGTTCTCGATAAAATCCAAGAAAAAAAAGTTAAGAAACCGCTGATAATAAAAACTAAAAAGAGAAGAGCAAATCTGAAATCAAGAAAATAAAAACCCCGGTTGTTCGCTCTTAACATCAATACATAATCTGCAAAAAGGACGATCCAGTATAATTAGAGTCTGCAGCTATAAAAGGAAGTCTTCCCTCAACGTCCAAGGTAATTCCAAGACACACAAACTCGTGCACTACCTCTGCAATTCACCTTAGAACCTCTCTCTCTCTCTCTCTCTCTCTCTCCCTCTCTCCCCCTCTCTCTCTCTCCCCCTCTCTCTCCCTCTCTCTCTCTCCCCCCCTCTCTCTCTCTCCCTCTCTCTCTCTCCCCCCCTCTCTCTCTCCAAGACACACAAACTCGTGCACTAGCTCTGCAATTCACCATAGAACTGTTAGAGAGATTGTAATATATCTCTTAATTTTGATATCACAAATTGGATTAAAACACATTCGGGAAGAGTGGGCTGACACAAGCGCACGCTGCAGCGCGCAGGAGTGCGCGCTGCAGCACGCTTGGGTGCTGCAGCCTGCGCAAAACAGACCTCTCGGGTCTGTTTTGCTAGGCCCGCACGCTGCAGCGCACAGGCGTACTGCAGCGCGTGCCTGGGCGCTGCAGCCTGCGCAAAACAGACTTCTCGGGTCTGTTTTGCTAAGCCCGCGCGCTGCAGCGCATGGACGCGCTGCAGCGCGCCTCTTGGGCGCTGCAGCGCAAATTATTAACGAAAAATGTGTTTTTCGTGCGTTTTAGTGATCTGAAAAGGTCTCGAACCATTGCATCTATTTGTGATATGTTTTCTCACATATCTGAGCACTTATTAACAATAGAAATAACTATTGATATAAGTGCATCAGCATATAAAAGATAACCATCAAATTGAAAAGGTATCTTTATGTGAAAGGTTGTAACACTTAAAGAGGATGGATGCATCCCTGTCTTTATTTGATGGACTTCAGCAAATACAGATATTATTATTGTTCTGGAACTCAATATTTTTGCTGGATATTGTGGTCAAGGGTTTGTTGTATCTTGGGGGTAATTTGCCATTTAAAACTCATTAGCAAACTTTGAAAAGTGAGGGCAAATAAAACCTTAAAGGAAAGTATTCCTATACTCCTCAAACCCTCTTTCTGCATTCTCTATTCTTTTCATCCTCCCAATTATGAAATTTTCCAACAATCTTTAAGGTTTTACTCTTGCTGTAATGGAGGTTGAAAAGAACATGAGGTCTTTCCTTAATCTAAATGTTCAACTTGATCGTTTTGATGGTACCAACTTCACCCGCTAGAAGGGAGAGTTGTTCTTCCTTCTCACCGTGCTTAAGATCGCCTACGTACTTGATCCGAAATTGGAGCCTCTTCCTGAACCAAAGGAGGGTGATTCTGAGGAATTGAAGACCGCAAGGAAGAAGCGAGGAGATGATGAAATCATGTGCCGGGGTCATATTCTCAACACTCTCTCCGATAGGCTCTACGATCTTTACAACTCGATGGAGTCTCCGGTGAAGATTTGGAACGCTCTCGAATACAAATACAAAACTGAGAAGGAAGGTACGAACAAATTTCTCATCTTGAAATTTTTAGAATTTGTCATGGTTGATACCAAGTCCGTTCTAGATCAAATACATGAATTGCAAGTCATTATTACTAAGCTTCGTGAATTGAATGTTGAGATTTCTGAATCATTCCAAGTGGGGGCAATTATTGCTAAATTGCCTCAAAGTTGGAATGGTTATAGAAAGAAACTCCTTCATAGGAGAGATGAGATAACTTTGGAGGAATTACAAAAACACTTGAGAATCGAAAAAGAGACCAAGTCTCGTGATTCCAAGAACAAAAATGTAGATTCCTCTAAAGTTAATGTTGCCGAAGCTAGTAAGTTTTCAAAGAACTTCAAAGTCAATAATGACAAGAAGTTTAAAAAGCCCGGTAATGGCTAAAAGTAATTTTCTAGAAATTATTTCTTTTGTGGAAAGAAAGGCCATCACCAAAATGACTGCAGATACAAGAAGAAAAAGGAAGAAGTGAACACCAACAATGCCAATGCCGTTGAAGAGAAATCCGAAGACATATGTGCTATGGTCTCGGAATTACAAATTGGCATGATTACCGAAACTAACATGGCTGCATTTAAATCCTCCGATTGGTGGCTTGATTCTAGTGCCACAATCCACGTTTGTAATGACAAGACTATGTTCTTATCTTACAAAGTGGAAAAGGAAGGACAAACGGTTCTCATGGGGAACAATGATGCAGCTATGGTTGCCGGGAGAGGAGTGGTGGAGATTAACTTTACCTCTGGAAAGAAGCTTACATTGAACAATGTACTTCATGTTCCTGATATTAGGAAAAATTTTGTATCGCTAGTCTTATGTGTAAGAATGGGCTTAAGATTGTACTTGAAGGCAATAATTGTATTGTATCTAAGAATGAGATCTTTGTGGGAAAGGGGTATTCTTGTGATGACATGTACAAACTAAGTGTTAATAATAAAGATGATGTGAATTCTCTTTATATTGTTGATTCTTTTGATGTTTGGCATGCACGTTTAGCAATTTAAATTTTAGATCTTTTGAAATACATGTCTAAACATGGTTTGATTACTTGCAAAGATATTAAAAATGATAAGTGTGAAATTTGTATACAAGCAAAGATGACTAAGAAACCTTTTCCTAGAGCCGAACGTAATACTCAAATATTAGATATGATTCATACCGATATTTGTGAGTATAATAGTATTTTGACTAGAGGAGGAAAGAGATACTTTATCACTTTCATTGATGATTGTTCTAGATACACTTATGTGTATTTACTTAGAACAAAAGATGAAGCCTTTGACAAATTTAAAATTTATAAGGCTGAAATTGAGAACAAAAAAGATAAGAAGATCAAAATGGTTCGAAGTGATAGAGGTGGGATTTCTCAAATGAATTTGATGCTTTCTGTGAAGAGCATGGTATTATTCACCAAAAGTCAGCCCCCTTTACTCCTCAACAAAATGGATTGACTGAAAGAAAGAATAGAATCTTTACCGATATGATTAACTCTATGCTTCTTAATGCTAAATTGCCTAATAATTTATGGGGGGAAGCTTTACTTACAGCATGTCATGTTCACAATAGGATTACATCTATGAAAACACATGTCTCTCCATATGAAGTATGAAAATGAAGAAAACCAAACTTGATGTATTTAAGGGTGTGGGGCTGTCTAGCCTTTTATAAAATAATTGACCTTAAATCATCAAAGTTAGGAGCTAGAGGTATTAGAAGTGTTTTCGTAGGTTATGCTGAAAATTCCAAGGCTTATAAATTATTGAATCTAGATTCTAATGTTATTGTAGAATCAAGAGATGTTGAATTTGTTGAGAACAAGTTTAGCCTTGATTCTTCCATTGAATTAGAATCTAATCTTAATCGACCATATGTTGACATTCCCAGTACCTCCACTAATAAAAGGAAAGAGTCTATGACATCTTTCGAACCGAGAAGAAGTCAACGTAAAAGAAAAGAAAAGAACCTAGCACCGGATTTTATTTCATCTCAAGTTTTAACCTTTTTGGTTGAAGGAGATAGAAATGGTGTACTTAATAAAATATCAGTGTTGCTTAATATAGAGGAAGATCTAAAGACATTTAATGAAGCTATGACTTCAAAGGATGCCTCCTTTTGGAGAAAGGCTGTGAATGATGAAATAGATTCGATTATCTCGAATCAAACTTGGATCTTGGTCGATCTTCCTTCGGGATCAAAACCAATAAGCAACAAATGGGTGTTTAGGAGAAAGTACAATACCGATGGGTCTATACTAACATTCAAAGCTAGATTAGTAGCTAAAGGCTTTAAACAAAAGCGTGGTATAGACTATTTTGATATATATGCTCCGGTAGCTAGATTGACATCTATAAGAGTGCTATTTGTAATTGCATCAATATGCAATTTGCATGTGCATCAAATGGATGTTAAGACGGCTTTTCTAAATGGTGATCTTGATGAGAAAATCTA